TCCTACTGGCTTTGTCGATGCCAACATTTGGTATTGCCAGGCTATTTTATTTTAGCCATTCCAATGCGTGTCATTGAAGCCTCAAGCAAGAGATGAGGTGAGCTTTAAAACAGTCACTCTGAAGCCAGGTAGTGGTGCAGAACTGTAATCCCAGCTACTCATGAGCCGGAGGCAGGAGGTTCATGAGTTCAAGCCCAGCCTGGGCAACACAGGGAGACTGTGTCTCAAAAGAAATTACAATCACAAAACAAAACAAAAATCACACTGAGTACAATGTAGAGAAACAGTTGGCATGGGTTAAGAATGGATGAGAAAAGATCTGTTAGGTGCTGATTACAACAGTCCAGGGAAGAGATAACAGCTGTGATAGAGAGATGGATTTTAGAGACATTTAGAGGGTAAAATTAGTAGGAGTTGGTTATTGATTAGGAGTACTACAAAAAGCCCAAATTATTGTTTGCCTGATTTGGGGCGACATAGATCATTTGGCTTGGTTTGGGAGATCAATTCACGGTGTCTTAATCGCTAGTAAATGTGACCACTTAAACATAATAAGTTACACAGGTACTGCGGAATACCATGCAGTCATTACAAAGGACTATTTCTTGACATAGAAAGATTTCAAAAATAGGCTGCTTAAAAATTAAGTTACAGGGCCCAGGGATTTAGCTCAGTGGTGCCCCAGCCTGCCTTGCAAGCGCAAGGACCCGAGTTTGATTCTTGATACCAAAAGAATAAATTTTTAAAATAATAATAATAGTGTTACAAAATTCTGCACAACCCAGTATGACCACGTTTTGCATTTTAAAAACAGCACCGAGAACAACTCTCTGGGAAGAGGCAACAGTCAAGTGTTAACTTTGATCTCTAGGTTGAGTTTTCAGAATAGTTTTCAATTTGAGCTGCTTTTTTCCCATTTTTCTACAAAGAACACATGCTAATTGTGTAATATGAAAAAAGTTATTTTAAAAACATCTAACACTTCAAAAGTAGAAGTTTATTTTAAGATCACAAAGCAAGAATAGATGGAGCTCTAAGGGGTTGGGAAGGGAGCTGCGGCAGCAGTGCCAGCCTTCCTTTGTTCCCCCGTGGCTCTTCCCACCTTGGCCCTGCCGGGCTGAGTACTTGGCGGGAATCCTAGGCCTCTTGCGGATTTTGAGAGTCCGGTGGCGGATGGGGTGATGAGAGAGGCTGAGATGAAGTCAAACCTAGGATTTTGAATGCCACGAAGACTTTTCTGGTCCCTGTCAACGCTGGATTACAGTGCTATTGTCCAGTTCTCTCACCCCTGCCGTGGTGGAGCTCCCTTTCCTCCTGGAAACACCCTGCTGGTTATCCCTACTTCGCTGGCTGGTCTTTTTCCCCCGCCTCCTGCTTCCTCATGGTCTCTCCTGTCTCTGCACCCCAGGGTCCCAGGGCTCAGTCCTTGGAGTGTTTCTCTTTCTATGGATTCCACCCACTCTTAGCTTTGAATTCTCTGGTACACACTGACAACTCCAAACTTCAGTCTCCAGCCAGGATCTCTCCCGAGCTCAACTCGCACATCCCAACGGATGCTCCCATCTGATTGCTCAGAGCCATCTCAGTTGTCCCCCCAGATGGGGCGCCTGTTGTACCACCCCCACCCCCAGTTGTTCTTCCTCAGCCTTCTGTCTGCCTGTTAATGGCACCTTCAACCTTCCTGTGCTCAGGCCAAAATACTGACTCCCCTTTCCTCTCGCTTTACACGTGCAAAACTTACTGGCTGTGCCTTAAAAATGAATCCAGATCGGTCCCCCTTATGCCCACGGCCCCAGTTCTGGCCACCATCTCACCCCACTGAATGACTTACTGCAGCAGGGTTATAACTTGGGCTTCTTTTCTGTTTTGCGCTCAGTTTCAACTAAGACATCAGAGTGGCCCTTTCAAAAAACAGTTAAAGCTGTTTAACGGCTGAGCATGAACAGAGTAAGCGCCAGAGTCCCAGGGATCTCACACGCCCAGGGTGATAGGACCTCAGTTGCTTCTCCCTCTTCCTATGCTGTTTCCAATCAAGTTCCACAGTCCTTGCTTTTCAGTGAACATTGCAAGCATGTTCAAAGCTTCACTTTTCTTTCAGATATCCATCTGGCAGCTACTCGGTAAGTCTTCACTCCACTGTGAGGCCTTCCTTGACTGATTTTGAAATTGCAGTTCTCCGATCTCATCTCTCACTGTGACCCTTCGTTTTTTCCATAGTACTCCACATCTAGCAAATGTTGTCATTTCTTATTTATTTTTTTCTTTCGCTTCCTTCCCCAGATGGAAGATTCTTGACAGCAGAAGTTTCTCTTTTCCCCCTCTGCTAATCCTAGAGCAGTGCCTGGCATGGACTAGGCAGTATTTGTTGGATGACTAATGCTCAAGGTTATACCTTGTATCGTAATTTAATGCAGAGAAATGTTTTCTGCAGACCTGTGTCTATCAGTGTTTCGTTTTATTTTTATTTAGTTTTTTTGGTACTGGGGATCGAACTCAGGACCTTGGGAGGCAGGTGGCGGAACCACTGAGCTAAATCCTGGCCCATCTATCAGTTTCTTACACAATAGGCAATCGGTAAGTGTCTAAGTGAAAGATGGAGAGACTCCCTGTCTCAGGTCAGGAAACAAGGTCATCCAGCAGAGCCTTGCTAATTGTTGGAAAGGAAGAGGCAGCAGACGCCACTGAAGGCAACGCCACATCCACCTGAGTTAAATGTTACCTTCACCTACCCTCTTCTTTTCCCAGTACGAAGTACATTGCAGAGTTAACATCTGTGCGGACAAACTTTGGCCCACAGGGACAGGAGTTAGTAGATGAAATGCTCCAGCCTCCCCAGCCTCCGGTCAGTCCTCACTGAGGTGTGTAAGTGGTACACAAATCAGAACTGAAGGGCAGAGCATTTAAACATTTAAGGGGCTATCGTGAACAGGGCTTTGGTTAGAAAGTGCCATTTATTTATTTTCAGCCTCCAGCAGTGCCTGGCATCTAGTAGGCAGGAGCTCAGTGGACACTCAGAAAATGAACAGGGCCCTCCGCGGAGGAAGCCAGCTTCAGATCCTGGTTCAAGGCGGAGAGTTGGAAGATGGCGGTGTGAAGTGCTACACTTGCCTGAGCTCTGGAAGGAGCAGGTCGTCGGTGTCCCCACCACCCTACAGACCCTCTGAGAGCATGGACTTAGAAACTATCCACTGTAGCACTGGGGCCAGAAGCAGAATTCCAGCTGAGGGTCTGGTCTTATTTCCGCAGTAGCCCCTGAAAACATTCCAAAGAGGTAATTTTGGAGACTGACAGGCATGAGTATTTTCAGGTTCAATTTCAACGAAGTGTTGCCGTTTAAGAAGGCCTGCCAAAAAGATAATGGAGATACTGAAGGGCTTGGTAAACTGCAGTGCTCTCCCCAACGTTAGCTCTCCGAGATTCACGGCCAAGGCCAACAGATCCAGGACTGGATGGGATGCCAGTTGTCAAACTGGAGCCACAGAAAGGCTGGTTGTTCAAGGGCCCCTTCTGAATGGGCCATCAGGGGATTTGCCAGGCTCAAAACGGACGCAGTCGCCCATGAACCATCCTAACCCCGCCACCCATTTCAGTACAGCACTCAGCCTGAATAGAACCAATGCTTACATTATGCATTTGGATCACAACTGGTGATTTTTCCCAATCTGCTTGCATTTCAGGGGCCACACACTATGCTCCTGCCACCTGCACTGCTGGGCACCGTACTGTCTCTCCAAGGATTGCAACTGCCCTGGTGCATGAGTGATTCTCTCCCACATTAGTTTACATTTGTCCCAGCTGCCTTAGAATTTAGATTCTGCACATACCCTGGCTTTCCATACCATTCTTCTGCCCTCACACTACCTCTTTGTCACCCAGCGATTGAATAAGCATTGTTCCCCTGGCTTCGCTCGTGAAAGGGGCCCCTGCTGAAGAATAAACTTCCCATCTTCTGGCTTCCTTCTCCTAGCGCCCAACAGTTGAAGGGCAGCAGTGTTTGGTGACCTCCCCGCTTCAGGTTAACGATCTGGGCCGAGGCTGGATAATTTGCCGGTGCGTAACGGGGAGCAGACTGTCAAAGCCTTATCGTGGGGAAGTTGAGAGCAGAGACCCTTTGTCCGGCCCCTTCTCCCGAGCATCTTTCCTTAATCTGTCAGAGCTAATGGGGTTTATGTGGCAGACATTCATTTCCCATAAGCTCCAATTCAAGTGGCTGTGCCCTGATTCAGTCTCGAATGTTTCTACACTTAAAGGCTTGTAAAACAGTGAAAGATAGCAGATAAATTGACAGAAAGCCCCTGTCTTCAGCTGGAAAAAAGGCTCCATTTTATTTCTCTGCAGTGACAAGAGTTTTGAAAAGGCCAAATTAAGGATGCAGAGAGTGAAAAGAACACTGAAAGGTGCAAATGGACACCAGCCCGCCAACTTTCTTTTGGTGCACATCCTTCCCAAATGAGCCACGAGCAAGAGGCAGCTCAGCAAAGACACCTAGTGCTTTGTGGCTAGAAAAAGCAAAAGCTGTTTATAAAAGTAAAACTTGTACTTGTCAAAAACAACACTTGTCAGGAGAAAGTTAGGAAATGGCCTTCTAAGGTTCTGCTGGCTTTTCAAAGTATCCACCAGAGGATAAGCTAGAATAATTCTGGGATTCCAAAATCGTGTCTAGTTCACCTTTTTACACAATCTAAAATCCAAATGTGAACTATGCTAAGAGTTGGTGCTGGGGGAGCCCAGACACAAGGTGTTCTCAGCACCTCCACTGGCTGAAGCCCCACCCACCTACCTCCTACCCTGCTGGATGGATTTCTTAAGCCAGTTTAAGAGTTTCCAGGTAACACTTTACTTTCAACCCCACCATGCCCTGGTTAGACTAAGCAGCCGAGGTGGAAGGTAAGGAGAGGGGACAGAGACAGGGTTGGTCAGGGAATGGAGAGGAAGCCAGGCAGCTTTTTTTCCTTGCTTTCAAACTAGATCACCGGAGGCAAGAAAAGAGGCTGGTTTCAGGTACCCGGTAAACGAAAAGCAAACTTCTTTATTGTACACAGTACAGAATATAACGCAGCTTGGCAGGATGCATACAGCCCTGCACAGGGGGAAGCATTTAAAATCAACCGGTAGGTTATAAAGCCTCTCTGCACTGTAGATTTTCCACACTCTGGAAAAGCAAATGAGCCAACCCCCCAAAAAACTCTGAAACAAAAACCATCCAGGAGGTGCGTGAGTCCAATGGGAATGCAACAGTGACGCCTCCGTGCTAAGTCCCACGAGCACAGGCCTCGTAGCTACAGCAGGGGAGGGGGCAGCTCAGGCTACAGAAAATTATTTTCATACTTGCTAAACTAGCATAAATTCATTAAAAAAAAAAACCCAAACCAATATAAGAAAGGAAGAAAAACAAAAAACAAATCTATACAGCATTTACAACAAATAAATCTCTAGCCAGCTGGGGGTAAAATATGCATCTATGTATAGACTATGTGTAGATTAGAAAGCTATAAATATGGTTTAGAAAGAGTCCTTTGATTAGAGTACAAAGCTAATTAAGACCCAAGCAACAGGTTCGACACTTGTGGACTAATTAGCTTCCAGTAGAGGGAAATGTCGTTTTCAGAACTATAAAATGTAGCCCTCATCCCTGTGAACTTCTTCACCAGTGTGCTGTTGGTCGTAAGGGCGACCATGGAGTGCTCCATCACAGGACAGCATTTCAAAGGATGTCTCACACTCGTGGAGTCAGCACAGTCGGCACACAGAGCCCTTAACAGAGCAAGCAGCCAGGTACTACCGGCTTTCTGGTGACTTTTCCTCTACTTTGAGCTCAACTTGCACAAAACTTTAGCTTGGTTGTTTTGAACTTCACCAACATAATACAGCACTCAGAAGAAACTTTAAGGGAGGGGGGGAAGTGGCAGGAAACCAGAATGCTAGCCCTGTCTTACCTGTCAGGGTTGTGTGTAAGTCTCAAACCCTACTGAATTGTTACGCAGATTTCAAAGTCCAAGGTTTAAGGAAAAAAGAAAACCAAACAAACTGATGGAATGGCAGTTGCCATCAGTCATGCCCAAGGAAGCGGCCCTGGGGTCCCCCCAGGTGACCGGGCTCCGAGTGGACAGGGCATGTCGTATGTACATCTGCTGCCCAGCGGGCACATTAGTGAACACGATGTGCTATACACACGGGATCCAAGCTCGTGTCCAGGCTGCCCTGCACACTTCAGAAATGTACAACTCGGGTGCAAGTGGGGCTGCTTGGCGCAGAGGGTACAGGCAGGCAACAAAGCGGTCTTTCACACGGCCGAGGGGGCCCCAGCAAAGCCCCTCTCAAGCTGAGGCATCATAGGAAGTCGGCACGGCCCTGCCTAAGGGACACAGTGCAGTTACCGAAAGGTTTGTTTTTGTTTTTTGCTTTAAATACCAAAATTACAAAAATCAGTTTATAAACTGTTTTCCAAAACAAACAAACCCCCCAAATCAAAGCAAAACAAAATACTGTCAAGTGTGAATCGCCCTTCTCAAGTGAAAGCCATACACCTTCAGTCGTGGGCCCAGGGAGAGAGAGGGGCTCACTCTGCTTGGTGACCACATGGCAGGAAGGGTTCCGAGAGAAGCAATGGTTTACGATTGGAAAACCACGGAGTGGGTAACAGCCGTCCCCCTTTCCTGGAGCAAGGGGAAGCATCCAGTGAGCTGGATGAACTCTGCAAATTCCAAGATATATTTTAAGCTTTAATGATCTGGGGCCTCCCCTCCTCTGCTATGGGCTTGTGACTTCTTTGTTCAATCAACTATGCAAACCAGGGCCCTTCTGTGCAAAGACATAGTTGTCCGTGATCGACGCAGATTGTCACATACTCGGTCCGTCTTGCGGGTACGAACCTGAACAAGGTATTGCTTTGCATGTATTGCCCATGGTGGTTAGGGGGCTCCATTTCCCACCTCTTCTCAGAAACCTCGTCTGAATCACCGCCTTGGGGTGACTCCTTTTTTGGCCCCTCCCTGTTCCCACTCCCAGCCAAGGTGTCTGTGTGTAAGGGTATCCGTCAATCCAGAGCTGGCTTGGGTTCTCAGACAATACTCAAAGGGCAAGCTTTAGGAACAGCCAAGGACACAAACAAAACCGCTGCCCTCGTTTGCTGAATGGGAACTGCTAGCTCTAGGGTTTGGCTGCTCAAGCCACTTGGAAACTTAGTAAGCAAAGCCTTCTGCATAGGGGAGGCTGCTGCAGCGATCCACGTCCAGGAGGTAAGCCGGGCTGTCGTCAAAGTGGGTCAGGGGCAGGGTGTCGTCCTCGCTGAGGGGGCAGTCGGACTCTGCCTTCAGGAACGGGCGCTGATTGTCCGGGAAGGCCATGGAGAAGAGGGCGTCGGGGTCGCAGACAAATTTGTAAACGTATCGCTCCCCAGCCACCTGTGGGAGAAAGCGCGTTTACAAAGCCTGGCTGGAGAAGGATCGACAAGGGAATACAATGAAGTATTTTTAAGTTACCAACCTCTCAGGGAGCCCAAAACCAAAGAAGTTCATTAGCAGCTGATTATCCAAATCATTCATATTTGAGGAATCTTGGGGACCTATTACCTGCCGGGAATTTTGCTGACGCCACAGCTCAGCGGTTGAAAAAGACAGTATTTGAATTTCAAAATTCATACCAGATAGGCTCTTTCAGAAGAAAACCTTCACTATCTTCTACTGACAGCTCAAAGTCAGGAAGCACTGTTCTGCTGAGGCGGGGGCCTAGGGTTCCGAGGTCTGAGGACTTAATGGTCTAAATGCAGAAGCCAGACCACATTTTGAATGACTTCCAAAGTTTACAGTCTTCTCGGGGTGGATTTGTTACTTTGAAGGGCTAGGAATTTGATTTAGGAGCCTGTGTGGAAATTTTAAGTATGCTCCAAAGCCAAGGAGAAGTGCTTCTGGATCTACCTGCAGTTTTCAATAACAGCACGGTTCTGCTGCGCTGAAGGAACCCATAACTGCCTTTATGTGGATGTGATGCACGTGGACCAGCCGTCTAGCTCAATGGGCTCGCCCATTCTCTGCTGCTGTTTAGCAATACCGCAGAAGGGCACAGGACCCTGAAAATCAAACCTGATTACCAGCGCCTGTCAGATAATGCAGAGGGGGCAAGGAAAGGCAGCGGTCATCCTATAAGTAAACATTTTAAACTAAAAACTTTGAGTGACTGCGATTACATTTTGCTGTGATTCTAAAAATCTCTTTTTAAATTCAGAATGTAAAGCGCTTCAGCCTCAAATCTTGGTTTGAAGAAGCCTGTTGCTATAGCAGCGGTACAACTGTCCCGACAGGTTGAGAGTGACGGCTCTATGTCCAGTGACTAGAACTTGGAGTCTGCACCGACATTCCTCAGAACACCAGGAATCCGGGCTGTCTGTAGCAAGTGACTAGCAGCTTCACCTAATCAAGCCTTAATCATCAATCATCCCTATTTTGTTTTCCAAGCCCAGTTTTCCCTTAAATTCCAATCCTCAAGTCAGTTTGTGTGGAAGAATGAAGCAGGAGGAGGTAAGTGTTAATAGTAGACCAGGGGCCAGGGGTAAAGCTCAGTGGTTCTGCCACCTGCCGCACAAGGTCCTGAGTTCGATCCCTGGTACAAAAAAAAAAAAAAAAAAAAAAAAAAAAAAAAAAAAA